CCCCGCCCATTCTCTGGTCTACTTCGCCATCTATTTCTCCATTCACTACGCCATTCATCCACCATCCCCTCATCCCTCCATTCTCACACCCATTCATCCATCCATTCATCTACCTCACCCATCTGCTTACCCATTCACCTACCCACTCACCCACACATTCATTTACCCACCCACCCATTCACCTACCCATCAGTTCATCCATCTGTCCATCTGCCTGTTCATCCATGTACTCATATATTCACCATCCACCTGGTTGCAAACCTTTAACTTATCTGTCCATTCACTTACCTTTGCTTGTGTTCATCCTTCCTCCATCCCACTCACCTGCGCCACTCTCGCGTCCTCAGGGAACAGCGTATGACTAGCAAGGAGAACCCATTCATAAATGTTTCCCAGCTGCCTAATCCACCCCTTCAGGCTAGCGCTGTCTTTTCTGTCTGTATTCTCAGTGCCTGGCCCTGGACTTGTCCTGGAAGAGTCACTAGCAAATGACTGAATGAATGACCACGAGTTCTTTGGGGGCTGACCAGGCCTGTGCCCTTACCCTCTCTATCCTTCCCTGGCACTGGTCCCCAGAAGCCATAGGCAGTGTGTATGGGGGAGCTCCAGGTACCAGTGTGGAGCCTTGAGCCTGCATTCGCTCCTGCCTGAGCGTCAGCAGCCAGGTCCTGGATCTGTCATTGTTCAGCGTCCATGAGGTCTCCTCCCTCCTGTGTCCTCCCTGTGCTGTGGTGGTTGTGTCAGCTGCCATATTCAGCCTCTGTCACCCTATCTAGGACTATCTCCTGGACTCATGGCCATTAGCCTTCTTTGTGCCTGTGGGCCAGCAGGAGCCTAATCAAGGTGTCCAGTGAGTCAGCAGATGTTCTTTGGAGATCTGGGCCTAGCAGCCCTGGGGCTGATGCCATGAAAGCCCTGGCAGCCACTTCTGCAGGTGTTCACACATCTTTCCTTCACCGCTGGGGACCAGGTGCCCAGGAGGGTTCCAGAGACACTAGCCTGGCTTTTCTGCGGCTGTGTGGACCCTCTGGGGCCCCTGAGGCCCTGTACTGGGCACTTCAAGGATTGGGAATGAAAGCCCCAGATGTGGCCCTGGCATCAAGGTTAACTCTTGGCCTTTGGAGTCCAGTAGGCCTGGTTGGAATCCCAGCTCCACCATTCTCCTCAGCAAGTCATGGTCCTTCTTGGAGACTTTGTCAAACACAGAATTCTGCTCTCCACCTCACTCCCTGTGAGGATGGATGACAGGATGCTTGTCAAGAGTTTATGATGGTGCGTGACCCTGTTACTGTTGCCATGTTTAGTAGTCCCGACAAGGGTGCTGAGGCCCAGAGATGTGCTGGGCCATGCCCCATGTGCAGAATGGGTCTGGCATAGTTGGGCCTGGACTCTTGACTCTGATGACTCCCATTTTTGACCTGGGCTTTCTGGTGTCCTGGATTTGACCAGACCCAGTCATCCCTGGGTCTCTGTCATGATAATGCAAGACAGTGTGCATGGGACTTAGGATGCCCATTGTCCATGGGCTACAAGGCCAGGGCTCCTGGGAGAAGACCATGTATCCTGTGGGTACAAAGTTTGCTGGGTGTGATGGTGGGCTCAGTGGAAACCTGGGTCTCCCAGCAGGGAGGGCAGACCAGGCCAGGGGCAGCTGACAAGACAAGGGCTCGCCAGCCTCACTAGGCTAGCATGGGCACAGGCTCTCCAGTCCAAGGAATGCCACTTGATGAGGTTGGTGCTAGGGGGCTGGTCGAGCATTGGTGTGAAGGCCAGTTTAGTACCCATAAGTCTGATTCAAGGTCAGATTTGGGAGGAAGTCCAGCTTCAGGGATCAAGGGGTAGGCACAGGGCTGAGAAGGGTACAGAGCCAATGGTACGTTTTCAATGACTAACTGGTGGGTAACCTGGACCTCAGGGGACACGGTGGCAGGGTCAGACCAACCTGAGTTCCATTCCTGCTCAGGTGACCTTGGGCAAGTCACTGTGCCCCTCCGAGCCTCAGCGTCCCCTCCGCTGGGAGGATTATTGTGAGAACTGTGCCGATGAAGGTCCTAGCAGAGGCCAGGCACAGGTCAATAGAACTGAACCATCAGCTATCACAACCCCACTGGAGGGTACAAGGCCTGGGCTGATTGGGCTGGAGCTTAATGTAAATGCCCTCAGTATGAAGCATGTTCCTCAATGTGACCTTACACAGCTGCTCCCTTGAGGGGCTTGGCTGCCTGGCACCGGTGGACAGAGTTGGGCCCAGGCTGACAAAGAGCATGGAGGGGTTTCTGTCCCCTCCCTTTTTCACCACTGTCTATCAAGAGCCTTCCATGGCAGCTGGGCCCAGGGAGCCTTCTCTCCCACCCCCACCTAGTCCCCAGGGCGGCCTGGAGGGCAGTAGAGACCTAGTGCTATTCAGAGCGACATAGCTAGGGAAGGCCCGAGTGAGGGTTTGGATCTTAATCTGATGGAACCTGGGCTTGGGGCCCCTTCTGATGCTAGGGGTGGTTCTCCCTGATGTCCCTGAGGTCACAGGTCTGAATCCTATTCATCGTTTTAGCCAAAGCTCCCTGAGGGCTGTTGTGGACCTGGCTCTGATGGATTCACTCTTATTGCTGGGGGGGTGTCCACCTACCCATCCTTCATCATCCATCCATCCACCTGTCTTTCATCCACCCATGCTGTCTCAGCACTGATTTTCTGGGGGCCTGAGGTCTCAGCCACCTGATGGGGCCAACCCAGCTCCCATCGTGAGCACTGACTCCTGCCCCAGTTTCAGAGGCGCAGTTGGGGAGTCGAGAGGCCCTGTCACTGGGCATGGAGACTGAGCTTCCCAATAGCCTTCCCGGCGATGACCAGGACGAGTGCCTGCTCCTCCCAGGGGAGCTTTGCCAGCACCTCTGCATCAACACGGTGGGCTCTTACCACTGTGCCTGCTTTCCCGGCTTTTCACTGCAGGATGATGGCCGTACCTGCCGCCCAGGTAAGCACCCGGATAGTCAGGGCCGGGGCCGGGGCTGATCTTGCCAGGGCAGTGTGGCATTCCAGCTGTGGGGACTCTGGGGTACTTCTGCCCCCCCCCACATTGGAACCCGCCACATCCGGGGACCTGCAGCAGTGGACTTTGTGAGGCCAGGCAGATAGACTCCTTCCTAGAACTCTATCTGCAGGGTAAGCCCCAGTGCCCTGCTCTGGGTTCAAGTGCAGGGCCTGGACCCAAGCCACAGAGCCTCCCATCAACCCAATCAATGTCCCCAGTGCCAGGCCCATGGTGGTTAAGCCCCAAGAGGCAGCCCAGGAGGCTGCCGCAGCCCATGGTCTGGGAGGGCACTTTCTCTGCCAGCTCCCAGGGATAGATTTGTTGTCAGTCTAGAAATTCACTCCTCTTCCTTGCCTTCTGTGTGCTGAATAGCTTTGAGATCGATCTTACCTAAAGTACATTGCTCCCTGAGCCTGTTTCCTCTCCTGGGAAATGGGTTGGGAGGACTAGGTGAGGTGATTTCTGCCAAGTGCTGGCATGGTGCCTATTAGGGCCTAAGGCCTGGCTGAAGATGTGAGACAGACCTCCCCCTCCTTTCTGCTCTGCCCGGGACAGACAGCGGCCCCCCACAGCCAGAGGCTGCAGAGGAGTCTGCACTGAGGCCAGAAACTCCCCAAGGGGCCCCCAACACCATCCTGCTACCACGGCCGCAACCCAACACCTGCAAAGGTAACCTGGGTCTCAGGGTGGGTCTGGGCTGCTTGCAGGTGGTGAGCTCTCTAGTGTTGGCCATGTGCAAGTTGGGGTGCTTCTGCTTTGGGGGTTGGTTGGTCTTACCTGTCTGAGCTGAGAGAAGCTGAGGAGGTGAGATTTGGAGAGAGGGTCAGCCTGGGGTGAGAGAGGATATGAGAATAGAGGACAGTCTGGGGTGATTGTATGTGACCTCGAGCAAGCCAATTAGTGACTTTTTTGGTCTCAGCTCCTGTGAAATTGAGAGGGTACATCCTTGCTTGTGGAGCTGTCGTGGAGATGGCAATGCGTGAGAAGTTCTCTGTTCTGCTCCTCTCTTCCTTGCCCTGCTCTCTGCACCTGTTCTCTGCCTTCTCTCTGTCCCATCACTGTTTCTTGAGGGAGGGGTTTGGTATCTGAGTGGTGGTGGGAGATCTAGTACATTATCTCAGACACCAGCTGATGTGTGAGCCTGTTTAGCAGTGAACTTGTAAAAAAGGACAGGAGTGGAGTTCCTTGCTCCCAGTCCCAACGCCCGCAGGTTAGAGCTGGAAGTGGTGAGTCTGGTGGTCTCTGACTCTGCGTTTCCTCCCAGACAATGGGCCTTGCAAGCAGGTGTGCAGCATTATTGGGGACACAGCCATGTGCTCCTGCTTTCCCGGCTATGCCATCATGGCGGACGGTGTGTCCTGTGAAGGTGAGTACACGGGGTCACCCTCACACCTGTGTGAGAGCCTGTGGGGAGGGCCCCAGAGTGGGGATTGGACATCCAGAATGAGGGAGGTGGTCCGGATCTAAAACTGGGGATGTTAATGAGAGAACAGGTTTGGCTGCTTTGATAAAGAGTCCCAAATAGCTTAAGCAGCGATTCCTCGCCTGCCACCGTGCATAGGTGTGTGTGCGGTCCAGGGCAAGCATACAGGCTGGCCAGGAGCCCAGGCCTCCTCTGTCATGTCTGCTGTCTCTAGAGAGTGCTTTCCAAACTTGAGTGTGCGCCAGAGTCATCTGGTGGCCTTGCCCCAGCACGGGTCCTGAGAATTCCACGGAACCCCCAGAGCCTGCTCCAGTCGGTCTGGGGTGGGCCTGAGAATTTGTATTTCTTACCAGCTACCCTGTCCTTGAGGGTGGCCTCTGTCTGCGTTGCCAAAGTTGATTCTGGCCTCACTGTCCCTGTCACTGGTGGAGAAGGGAAAGAGGGAGGTGTATGCCAGTTACTGTAAGGCGGGACCCAGAAGTGGCATTCATTCCTCTCAGTGGCCTCTGATGGGGAGCAAGATGGGAGTAAGAGTCCCAACTGGATGGCGTGTGCTCAGTTCTGTTACTGAAACCAAGGAGGGGACAGTGGATGTTGGTGACAGCTACCTCTGCCATGCACAAAGGGGATGGAGAGGTTCCAAAAGCATGTCCCTTTAACTCCAGTGACCCGCTAGGTCTGGGTGGGGCCTCTGTTGGCCGGGACCTCCTGTGAGATAGGGGCATTGGATCCAGCACCTGCTGGGGTGGTTTCCATAGTGAATGACGCCTTGAGAACAACCCGAGATGTCTCAAGGCTGCGCCGCCTCCTGTCTGGAGGCAGGATGGACATGAAGCGTGCAGACAGTCCAACACACTTCTGTTCAGGTTCAGGTTCAGGAGAGGTGTCCCTGGTGGGTTTCTGGGGATACCAGGATTAAGTCTGTCTAGGAAAAAAATGCCCACATCCCTGCCAGAAAGCTGAAACCCTTATCTAGCCCCTTGACTGAGATGGTTTTCTGTTGTTTATGAAAACCATCCAGTGCCCAGAGGTCAGGAGGCATGCCCAGGGCATACAGCATGGTGGTGACTGGCAGGCTTTTGTCTTAGGTGGTAGAGGCAGATCTCAGGTGCCCTCTGGGCTTCGCTCCCCATCTCTTGGAGCCTTGAAGACAGGATGTACCTCTCCTAGGTTGGGATTTCCTTGGACCCAGCAGACTACAGGCCAGTGTTTGTGTCTCTCCGGCCTCCTTCTGCAGAGTCCCAGCGGTAAAGGCTGTGGTTCTAGGCCAGAGGTTGCACACAGGTTCTGAGGGGCAGCTTTGCCTGCAGGGGAGTCCTGTGGGGCTCCATCTTGTCCAAAATAATCATACGAGTTACCAAACATGAAAATGTCAAGAATTTTTAAAAATGTCCAGATTTCAGTTTTCTCTTGAAACTGTAAAATCTGCCCACAAGGGGCCCACAGCTCTGGTCCCCCTCTGGATAGAGCACAGGCCCTGCAGTGCCCACAGAACCTCCTTTGGCTCCTTCTTCCACTTATGTTGCCAGCCTGGCGCCCCCCCCCAGCACTTGAGTTTGCAGCCCCTGCCTGTGTAGCTCCCTAGGCTGCCTGTAGAGGTGAAGCACTTCCAGAATGCGGGCGGGAGACAGACAGCCTCTGGGTCTGCCCCACTTTGCAGGGGGCAGGCTGCTGACCCTATCTGAGCCTGACCCTGCCACCTGTCCTTACTGGGATTCCAGCTTTGACCGTACAAACTCAGATTTGGGCCCAAACCCAGAGGTGCCGCCACTGATGGGCTGGGAGGCTCTGAGCAGGTGCCTGCTCCTCTCTAGATCTCAGTTTCCCCATCTGTCACTGGATGCTCCCTGACAGGCTATGCCCCTCTAATGGCCCTTCTGTTTTTCTTTCTGCGGCTGTCACTAGACCGAGACGAGTGCCTGCTGGGTGCTCACAATTGTAGCCGGCGACAGTTCTGTGTGAACACTCTGGGATCCTTCTACTGTGTCAACCACACAGTGCTCTGTGCCCAGGGCTTTATCCTCAACGTGCACAGGAAGTGCGTGGGTAAGCGAGAGCCCCTGCTGCCGCCAGTGCCAAGGCGCCCTGCTCTGCTCCACACCAAGCCCGTCCCACGCTACAGGGCCTGCCCTCTGCACATGAGCTCAGCACAGCTGGCACCCCTGTCATGTCCTGCGTGTCCTGGTGTCCTGTCCTGCTTTTCCACCGACGCCTCTGGGAGGCTGCTTTCCCCAGGGACATGCCTGAGAGTCAGGAAACTAATTGATGGGTGACTTGGCTGGGTCACTGAAGCGAGGTCAGACCTGTGGGCAGCAGGAGAGAATGTGAGGTCGGAGGCAGGGCCATGGTGAAGCAGGACCTTCTAGTAGCTTTGTGGCCTCGGATACATGACTCCCTTCTCCAAGCCTCAGTTTTTCATTTGTAAAAAAGGCGCTGAGGGCACTGCTCCTCCTTGGAGTTTCTGTTCCCTGTGTGTGTGGTGCAGTGGAGGCTGGGGCATAGTGAGCCATGAGTCAGCTGCCAAGATTGTCCTTAGATGCATCCGGACTCCCCTCCAGAGGTGAATGGATGGAGCTGGGGTCTGACAGACCCAGTTTTGCATCCCAGCTTGGAGTTCGTTTGCTGTGTTACCATGGGCAGTGAGCTCTCCTCTCTGAGCCTGTTTCCTTACCTCTAACCTTAGGGCTTGGAGGATGACAAGGGCTAGTACCCAGCTCCTGGCCTGCACAGGTATGGGGCTGGTGCTTGGTAACAGCTTGTCCCACCTGCCTCTCAGTGCCTGTGTAGGCTCGGCCCTGGGGCTCCAGGTGTGCTCTGTGGGCAGTGAAGAGGGTGGACTTGATGGTGACCCATGTCCAGAGGAAACATAGACCCAAGTCACAGGAATTGAGGGCAGACTCGGAAGTGCTACAGCAGAGGCCAAGGGAGAGGCCATTCGAGCTGTGGCGTCTCATGTACTTCCTGGAGAAAGCAGTGTTTGTGCCTGTCTGTAAGGATGCTGGGGCTTGCAGTGGAAGGAACAGCTTGAACAAAGGTGCGGAGGTAGGAACAGTGCAGATGCGTTCAGGGTGTGTGCCCAGAGCCCAGTCTGTCGTCTGTGTGTTTGGGGACCATGTTCAGCCTGAACATGTCCTCTCCCTCGCCCCCACTGCTGGACGGGCAGGCGCGGTGCTGGGCTGCGCAGCCGCTGCAGACATGTTTGCCCCTGGCCTCCAGCCGTCGGCACAACATGTGCCTCCTGACCCCGCTTGTCAGCGGCTGGGCAGCTCTTCCTGCCTGGCTGTGTGTGTGTGTCTGGGGAGGCAGGTCCCAAGCCTGCCAGCACCCCTCCTGGGATGCCCTGCCTGCTTGCCATGGCTGGGTGCACAGGCTCCGCTGTGGCCTAGAAAGAAGACCTTGTGCTAACGGGGTTGCTGGGCAGCTGGAAAACAGGTTCTGGGATTAAAAGAGCAAAGGTACATTTCATTTACCAAATCTATGAGCGCACATTCTCACTCATGTCTCTGCCCCTCGTTCACCCGCACAGGCCTCTTGTCCTCCTGTCCGCTTCCACATTCACGATGCCGTCTGTTAGTGCGCACTGTCCCCTCACTTCCCCACAGGCGTGTGCGTGCATCTCCTGCAGGCCACCGTTAGCTCCAGGCAGGTTTATTAATAACCCCAGCTGGTGAGACAGGAGATGTTCCCAGATGAACAGTGTGGCTTCTGCAGCCAGACTGCCTGGGTTCAAATCCTGGTTCTGCCACTTTTTAGCTGTAAGACCTTAGACAAGTCATTTAACCTCTGTGAAACGAGATAGTAATAGCACCCACTTCAAAGGGTCACTGTGGAGATCTAATGTATAGAATTTACAAGTGTTTTATGTCATTTTTGTGATTCATTACATGTGTTATACTGAGGCAGCCTGCATAGGTAGTAAGTCATACATCACCAGAGGTTGTGAGCTGAAGTGGGACAGTGTTGGGTGGTGCCAAGTCCAGAGGACCTCTAGTGGACATGTGGCCTCTGTGAGGCCTCCTCTGTGCTTTGCTGTTTGCCTTTTGTGCCTTGCCCTTTGAGGACTGTCTTGGCTCCTGGGAAAAGTATCCTAGGTGAGCTGGGCTTTGAGAAGATGGGAGGGGAGCAGTTGCCAGCTCTGGAGCTCAGCCCACAGCAGGGGAAAGGGCACAGTTCTGGGCTGGGCACTCGGGGGTCTGTGCTTGCTGCTGCCACGTGCAGGCTCTGTGGCTTTGGTCCAGCCACATCCCGTCTGGGAGACCTGTTTTCTGTCTGCGAAACTGTCGCAGGATGGCAGAATGGCAGTTCTGGAACTGCCTGGTCCCTAGCAAGCCTGTCAGAGGTATCTGCTGCTATTGAACACCGTGATTCCCCCCAGGGTGGGGCTCCTGGGCTCCTGTGTTTCTGGGACCCTGGGAATGTGTCCCCTGTTAATCCAGCCTGCAAGTCAGAAGTTCCTATTTTGCCAACCAAGCCTTCCTTGGAAACCTCTGACCCAGAACTCTCTTTCCCCCCCCTCACCTCCACCCAAGCCTCAGTTGGCCTGGCCTTAACCATTTGGTTCACCTGTGAGTTTGAGAGTCTCTGCCCACAGCCTGGCACCCCTCCTCTCCACCTGGTCCCAGTCATCCTAGTAGGATTGGCTCAGATGGTGCTGCCCCCCAAGGAGCGACTCACAGTGTGGGGCCCGGAGACTGCATGGCCGGCTTTCCTCCCCAGCGTCGACACCTTGCCTGTCCTGTCTGCCCCACCAGGCTGGCAGCTCCTTGAGGGCAGGGGCTGGCGACACTCCCACTTAGCTACCTGACCTAGCACTGTGTAAAAGTATGTGCTGGTCAACGTGCGTCCAGGAAAGACTGAGTCAGTGAGTGACTGCCCCCCCTTCCAGGTGCACATGCCAGCAGGCACTGCCCCGTCAGTGGCCCCACACCAGACCTGCGACGATGTGGAGTTATCCATTCTCCAAGGGCTCTCCAACGCCCTCCCTGCTGCCGCTTCTCTCTCCCTTCCCAACTGCTCCTCCTGGGAGCTGCTCCTTGACCTCTCCTTTCTGTGCTCCATCCCCCGATGAGCTGGGCAGCCAGCCCATTGCTCTCTCGAATTAGCGCTTTTACTCAGACCCCTTCTGGGAGCCCAGAGGTCTCCCCGGGTGCCTCTTGACTGAGGTTCACTGGGCAAGCCTGTTTCTCCCAGCATCCCTGTCCTGGGTGCTGTTGCTCTCACCTGACACCTGCTTGGCCAGAAAGCTTTGCAGACCTCTTAGCTCCTGTTTTTCGCTCGCCTTCATCTCACGCACTGGTGGATCCTGTCGTGCCATCTTCACCGTGTTTTTTGAACCCGACTGCTTCTCCTTGCCTCCGTGGATGGCAGTCGTTGTCTCCTAACAGCTTCCACTTTCACCCCTGGGGTATACATACCCAGCCAGCGGCCCTGTTAAATAAGGCCCCAGCCGGAACCTCTCTGTGGCTCCCACCTCCCTCCACATCTAACACTCCTCTCCCCTGCAGCCGCAGCCCTCCTGGCTGGCCCTCGGACCTGCCTAGCAGGCCTGGTCAGGGCCCTGGCGTTGGCTGTGCCCTCTGCCTGGAATATCTGCTGGGTTCTTTCGTCACTTCTTCAAATTCTTGCTCCAGTGTCCTCTTTGAGGACCCTCCCCCCTGCCTCCTCCTTAATATGGGGTGTGCCCCCCCTCAGCGTACCTTTCCTTCCTCACAGCACTCATCCTGAGGAGACCCATCCTGCCCTATGTTTACATATTCATCTCTTGGCACCCCCCTCTCTTGAGTGCCCCCATGATGGCCGGGATCTGTCTGTCTTGTTCACCATGCACCCCTGGTGCCAAGAGCAGTGCTTGCTGGCACATGGCAGGCACTCGCTAAGTCTTTGTTGAAAGAATGATGGATGCATACAGGCGGCCGTCAGCGCTGTGCTACTCTGGGTCGTGAGCACCTTGAGGGCGGTGCTGGCTGCGCTCTGCTGCCCTGGGAAGCACCTGTAGCTCTGATGGCATTGCTCTCCCTGCAGACATCAACGAGTGTGTGACAGGCTTGCACACCTGCTCCCGAGGCGAGCACTGCGTGAACACAGTGGGCTCCTTCCGCTGCTACACAGCTCTCACCTGCCAGCCGGGCTACGCCCTTGAGGACGGGGAGTGCACAGGTGAGGACCGTGGTTTGCAGGCCCCACCCCTGATCTGCCCCATCTGCACCCTGACCTGCCGTCCCACCCCCCCTTCAGACCCATCCCTGACCTGCCCAGAGTCAAGAGCTCCCGGCACTTAGGTCCTGTGCCTCTGGGAAGACCCCACAGATGACGGTGTTTGAGGCAGAGGCATGTTTGAGGCTGGTGGGTAGGCTAGGCTGTGCTCCTGGCTTTGCTACTTTTGCTGGTGCCTGGGTGCCACTTGTTCCCCTTGCCATGCCTCAGTTCCCCTGTTTGTATGTTGGGGTGGAGCCCACAGATCACTTCTGTCCCTTTCACTGGAAAATTCTAGCCTAGGAAGAGGGAGAAGTTTCATTGAAGCATTTTAGTAGACTCTTCCAAGCCCCTTCACCTCCCTGCTGGGCTCTGGGTGGCAGGGATACGTGGTAGGGTGTGGTGTCCTTGATTCTGATCTCCTGATGAGGGACATGGGGTCACACAGGAAAACAAGATGGAGCGGAGACCTACATAGTAAGAAGCTCCTGGGAAGGGTGTTTCAGGCACAGGGAACAGCAAGTGCGAGGCCTTTAGAGAGGAGAGAAATCTTGACACATTCAAAGAACAGAAAGAAGAGTTTCAGGGGTTGGAGCAAGCATGCTGACAGCTTGAAAGGAGGGTACAGAGCTCAGAGACTGATTAGGAAAGGAGTTCGGAGTCTTTCACCTGTGATATGAAGCATTTTATTGTTAACTAGAAATGCCCAGAAGAATGTCACCAAGGAGGGAAGACTGCTGAAGTGCTCACTTGTTACTGCCCTGGAGAAGCTGACAAGCAGCCCCGAGGGGAGTGTAGGCTCAGGGAGGTGGGTTAATACAATCATGTCTGGCTCCGAGGTGTCAAGGAAGTGGAGGTCAGAGGAGCTAGGAGGAGAAATGAGCCTAGCCCCTCTGCACACCTGTGCACACACCTGTGCATACCAAGGGCAGATGCACATCCAGGGCCAGCCGCCCTCAAAGAAGCCACCTGGGAGGATGCCACCTCCCTGGACATGCCCCAGCCTCCCCTGTCTCTCCCATTTCAGGGTGCTGGGCTCCTTAGAGTGTGAGGCTGCCTCTCAAGCACCAGCAGTTATCAGACAGGGCCATGCCTGTTCATGTCAGGCTGCTTGGAACCCAGCCCAGGGCCTCCGGAGACTGGGCTGCTGTGGGAAAGTGGTAGGAGCTTTGGAAACCAGAGAGGGGATGGGTGAGGAAGGACAGATGGACAGAACCTACACAGCCAGACACACATGCGTGGTCTGCTCGTCAGCAAAGTTCAGTGAATTTCGGCCTGCCCTTCATTCATTGTCAGCTTTCTGCTCTGCCTGCATCAGGGTCTGTAAGAAGTGGCCCCGTGTGCCTGCTGTGCAGGGAGCATGGAGGTGGGAGGCGGAGGAAGCGCCGGGCCAGTGCTGTGCAGGACGTGAGGCTCGGGGGTGGGAGGCACAGGACCAGTGCTGTGCAGGACGTGAGGCTCGGGGGTGGGAGGCACAGGGCCAGTGCTGTGCAGGACGTGAGGCTCGGGGGTGGGAGGCACAGGGCCAGTGCTGTGCAGGAAGTAGGGGATGGGGCAGGGAGCACAGGGCAGTGTTGTGCAGGAAGCATGGTGCAAGCCCAGGGGTGAGGGCCCATTTACCTGCTCAGTGCCATGTAGGTAGGGCAGTGGCCGGCAGCTCCATGCTCTGAAGCTCTAAGCCTTGCTGCTGCCAGAGCCATTACCAGAGAAGCCTGGACACATGACCTTAGGGATCTGAGTGCATGTCCCAACCCTGCCTGCTTGGGGCAGTGATTAGGAGAGCAGGCCATCAGGGTTCTGGTCCCAGCCCAGTGCCCCCTAGCTATGGAACTGTGTCTGTGCTCGGTTCCCCTGTGTAAGATAGGGCTTGTCGAGGGCCCTGCTTCCTAGGGCCATTGTGAGCATCAGGTAGGTAAATACATCTGAGAGTGCTGGGACAGTGCCTGGCACCACCAGGGGCTCAGTAGGTGTGGTGATATCATTTCAATATCGGGTGTGGGCAGGCAGTGATGGTGCTCTGCCCGAGTCCCATGATGCAGAAGACCTTAGTAACCCCACATTCCTAGTGGGACATGCGGACAAGAGCCCCCCAGCCTGCCAGCCCCTGACTGCCTGCCTCTTTGCCAGATGTGGATGAGTGTGAACTGGGCACGCACAACTGCCAGGCGGGCTCCACCTGCCAGAACACCAAGGGCTCCTTCTACTGCCAGGCGCTCCAGGCGCGCCAGCGCTGCATGGAGGGCTTTCTACAGGACCCCGAGGGCAACTGTGTAGGTGAGTAGGTGGCGCCCTGTCCCTGTCTTTGGGAGGGGTCGTGGGTCGGGAACTCTGAGGGTTGAGATCAAGGAGGTCTGGCTTGCTGCTCTTACCCTGCTGGCCTTTGTGTCCCAGCCTGGGAAGGACAAGCCGGTGCCTCGCCCCAGGAGGCCGGCAGAACAGAAGCTCGTGCCATGAGCTGTGTGACCTTGGCTGAGTTACTTCTCTTGTGGCCTCATTTCACCCATCTGTGGGGTTGGACTGGAAGAAAGTGTACCAAATTTCTTTTAACCTGGTTAATAGGAAGGGTATATGTTATATCTTGACGTGGCGCGCGCACATGTGTGCACACAGACACACACATGCACACACACACACACACGACTGGATCACAAGCTCACAAAGCATTACTGCCTGTGGTACTGAAGTTCCTATTTGCAGAGAACGCTAGCCAAGCCTCTGAGGCTGATTGCACACCACACTCGGGTTGAGACCTGCAGCTGGACAGGTACTGGCCCTGTCGTCCCCACATGGGTCTGCTGAGATCTCGTGTTCTTCTCATCACTCTTCAGCGGCTTCCAAAGAGCCTAAGGTCTGCAGCCAGGGGGCCCCCCTGCCCAGGCTGCTACCATGTGGCTGGGAGGCCCCCCTTGCCCAAGGCTGTTATATGCAGCTGGGAGGCGGAGCACCAGCCCCCAGATTATTGATGGCACCCAGAGTGTAGGCATGATCAGGGCTACACTCAACTTGGGGAGGGCTGAAAGACAGAGGGAGACATGGGAAGACAGGCCCCATGCAAGGCCAGCCACTGGATGCAGATGGAAATGGGGTTTGTAGAATCCAGCTTGTCACATGTAGTAAGAACAGCTCGTGGGATGGGTGTCCCCGTCTTACAGGGTGGACACTGAGGGACAGAGAAGGGCCTTAACTTCACCTGGAAGCTTTCTTAAGACTCTTTGGGGGTCCCTTTAGCCAGTCTGGGATCTGGAGCTCTCCCTGAAGCACCCCTTTAACAGCTGTGCCCCAACATTTTCACAGGACATGGGCAACCCCTCAGGACACTACAGGGCTATGGGCATGAGGAGGTCCCTGTGGTCTGCCCTGGGACACCCATCCAGAGTCCAGGCGAGGTGGGAAGGGATCTGCCGACTACAAGAGTCCTTCAGTGGTTAGTGACATTCACTGGCATGTCCTTAGCACCTGCTGTGTGTCGGGGGTGCAGCAGTTTAACAACATCCCGGAGAGGAGAGATTAAATAAGCAAACACATTTATATAGGTGGCAGTTACTCTAGGATGCTTTCCTCAATAATAAAACAGGTAGGGATAAAAGTTTAAAGGGGACTTTTCTACCTACAATGGTCAGGCCCTGAGGAGGTGACATCGGGGCAGGGAGCCAACCATGAAAATATTAGGAGGCAATGTGTGCCAGAGAAGGGGAGACAGCATGTGCAAAGGCCCTGTGTGGGGAGTGCCCGGGCCTGGTGGGGTGAAGAGGCCAGCGGGGCAAGGCTCAGTGTGTGGACAGCAGTGGAGGGTGAGCTGGACAGACTGGTGGGCTTGGAGAAGCCAGAGGGGCGTGACTTGCCACTGTGATCCTGGAAGTCAGCTTTGATTTCCCCTCTGGCTGTAGCTGCTCCATTAGAAAGCAGCTGGCAGGTGCTTGGGTTCTGGGAACTGAAACGTTTAGTGCCATGGACACCGGTGGGACAACCCGATCACATAGCCCTGACCTGGGCTGGTCTGGAGCCCAGGACTGACCTCCTCCCAGGGCAGGCCTGGACCCAGATGCTGGGGCCTAGGGAGGGGCTGTGCCAGACTGTGACCCACACCCACCTCTGCAGACATCAATGAGTGTACGTCACTGTCTGAGCCGTGTCACCCTGGCTTCAGCTGCATTAACACGGTGGGCTCCTACACATGCCAGAGGAACCCGCTGCTCTGCAGGCGTGGTTACCACGCCAGCCAGGATGGGACCAAGTGTGTGGGTAAGGCCAGACCGCTCTCTGCTGCCCCCTCCCCCTGCCCCTGCCAGCCTCAGCTTCCTTGGGTTCCTGGCCTATGGGAGACCCCTTTAGGGGAGGCTAAGGCCTCAGGGTGCCTTTCTTACCTTCCCCTGGCAGATGTGAACGAGTGTGAGGCGGGCACGCACCACTGCAGGGAGGGCCAGGTGTGCCACAACCTCCCTGGCTCCTACCGCTGCAACTGCAAAGCCGGCTTTCAGCAGGACGCCTTCGGGCGGGCCTGTGTGGGTAGGTGGGGGCTGGTTGCCAAGACCCCCATTCAGCTCCCCCGAGCGGTGCCCACTGCCCCAGGCCAGCCTTCTAGCTACCACCTCCTTTCTGCTGCCCCTCCCTCTGCCTTGCCGCCCCCCTCGCCCTGCCCTCTGTCTTGACTGCCCTCCTGTCTTCCTGCCCAGTGGTGGCTCTGGCCCTTTTCTCTTCTTAGCCTCCGTCCCTGCTGCCCTCTTCTCTTGCCCCTTGCTGTGATGGCCTGTCCCTCTGCCTGCCTCCAGCCTCCCTCCAACACTCTCACTGCCTTTCTCCCCTGTCCCCGGTCTGGGTCTCACCCTGTCTCTCCTGGTTCCCTGGACCTGTCTTCCAACCCTGCCCCCTTTCATACCTGGGGTGGAGGGAGGTGGAGGGAGCTGGCTCCCAGGAGCTCCCCTCCCCACCCCTGCGGCCTCCCACAGATGTGAATGAGTGCTGGACCTCCCCTGGCCGCCTGTGCCAGCACACGTGCGAGAACACACTTGGCTCCTACCGCTGCTCCTGTGCCTCTGGCTTCCAGCTGGCTGCGGACGGCAAGCACTGTGAAGGTACAGCTGACCCTCCTCAGCCGAGGCGCTTCCTCACTTTCCTCCTGGGGAGGGGAGTCTGCGGAGACCCCTGGGAGGCTGTGAACCTCTCCCTGAGCACTTCACCTGGCAGAGGAGCTGGCCCTGCCATGGATCAGGACCAGCCTAGGGGCAGGGGAATGGGACCAGATCCAGCTACATCAGACAGCATTTGGATGGGCTCCCAGACCAGACCAGACCTTCTCACTCTTTCATTCATTCGTTTGTATTATAATCACCTGTGAGCACCTCCTCTGAGCCTGGCTGGGTACACATTGTTGTAGGGATGAGGCCTCTGCTCCCCAGGCATTTCCGTGGCCAATCATTAATTTTTTGGCCCTTAAGCCTTCACACACCCCATCCCTACCTAATGCCGCTTCTCTACTCCTCCATCTGTGGCTGAATGTTAGAGACTCAGATGAAACCAGTGTGGCCACTGGCCCCCAGAAGCTCAGAGCCTAGTAGAGGAGGGCACTCACTTGTTTATTCTGTGTGAATGCTATGCAGCTTGTGAGGTCCTGAGGATCTAGACGTGAATCAGACAGAGGTCTGTGAGGCCCTGCATGACCTGATCCCCTCCTCCCACTCCCATCACTCACTCTACTCTGACCACACCCACCTCCTTGCTGCCTTGAGTGCACCAAGTCTGTGCCATCTCAGGGTCATTGCCCTTGTACCTTCTGCCTGGAATGCTTCTCTAGATGCCCACTTGGCTCAGAAGTTGCAGCCCTCCCAGACACAATCCCTGTCCCCTTTCTCTGCTTTCTCCATTGCACTTGCCACCTTCTGACATACTAGTTATTTGACTCATTTAATTAGGTCCCTCCCTCCTTCTTTTTCCCCCCAGCACACATGAGTGTCAGTTCCACAGGTGGAGATTTTTGCCCCTCTTGTTCATGGTGACATGCCCAGTTCCTGGGACAGGCCTGGCATGTCATAAGCGGTCAACAGTTCTTGGCTGGGTGAATGAAAGAGACCCCTCCTGCCCTGGCCAGGCGTGACTCAGTGGTTGAGCATCAACCTAGGATCCAGGTGATCGGGGTTCAATTCCCAGTCAGGGCACATGCCCAGGTTGCGGGCTCAGTCAATGACTCTCTCATCATTGATGTTTCTATCTCTCTCCCTCTTCTTTCCTCTCTCTGAAGTCAATAAAGATATATTTTTTAAAAAAAGAAAGAGACCCCTCCTGGCCCACAGAAGCTCAGAGTCTAGGCGATGTTCCATCCCAGCTGTGAGACGACCCTTCACTCAGTCACTCACACCCTGCTCAGCCACACTCCTGTGCACATCAGCACTCCCATCCCATGCCTGCCTGAGGAGGTCCTTGTAGCACTACGTGGCACTGCCGAGAGCCATCTGCCAGGTGCTGAGGACCCTCAGTAGGGAAGCATCTAGCTCCCAGCCAGGGCATCTGAATCTGACCTGTGACTGCCTCTTCCAGGCAGCAGGCCAGGCCAGGACTCCACAGCAAACCCATCCCTGCCCCTGCCTCAGCTGCCTGCCCCCGCTGGTTCACTTGTCCTTATCTGGGCCTCTGATTCCTCATCAGCTCAGGGGGAGGCTGGAACTAATGTTCTCTCAAGAGACAGCTCGAGGGGAGCCTGGACGCTGGGTCTCGTCTCAGGGTTGGGTGGGTTCCATCATGACCACCTTGGTCTCCCTGCAGATGTGAACGAGTGTGAGACGCGGCGCTGCAGCCAGGAGTGCGCCAACATCTATGGCTCCTACCAGTGCTACTGCCGCCAAGGCTACCAGTTGGCCGAGGATGGGCATACCTGCACAGGTACCTCTCCTCTGCCCAGTGCCCCTTCCTGAGTGGCACCCCTTTCCCGTGTACCCAGCTCCCAGAGAGTCTCTGTGGGCCTGGGATACACAGGAGACAGGCTTTAGGTCAAATCAGAGTTGGGCATCCCACCCCTGTGTCCTGGCTGTCACCTTGGGCAAATGCTTCCTGAGTCTGACCTTAGGCCCCTCCCCTGCAAAGGGAGACCCAGTCCTGACCCTCAGGGGATGAAGGCTTCAGTTGAATCCTGAGTCCAGGCCTGCGTTTGGTACCTGATTGCCCCTTAGCAGACAGTAGTATTTGTGGAGCAGCCCCAGGGGGCAAGCACTAGGATGGGAGTCCTGTTTTACGTGTGGCCTGGGCAACTCTCTTCCTCTCTCTGAGCTCTATTGTCCTCATCTGTAAAATGGGCCCTGAGCTCACATGGCTATGGCAGGGATGGTGTGGCTGTTAGTAGCTGGGCCCTGTGGCTGGGCAGGGTCACAGGGTGAACCTCTCTCTGGCAGACATCGACGAATGTGCTCAGGGTGCCAGCATCCTCTGCACTTTCCGCTGTGTCAACGTGCCAGGGAGCTACCAGTGCACATGCCCAGAGAGGGGCTACACCATGATGGCCAACGGCAGGTCCTGCAAGGGTAAGCAAGGGGTCCCTGCCCACCAGGCCTTGGCCAGGACTTTGACAGAAAGAGAAGGCCTCATGCAGTGTGTGTGCCCTTGGAGTCTGATACCAAGTGCACAGCACAGAATGGCCCAGGCCTCTGGTGGTCTGTGTCTGGGATAGGAAAGTGACAGTCTTTCTGCTGCTTGACCCAGATTAGAATTTTTCAGATTTGGACTCAGCTCTGGGCCTTGCCCTGGGAGCAAGGCAGAGATCCCATGGGGTGATTCTAAAAGGCATGAGCGACCTATCCAGTGAGAAGTCTGCAGAAGAGCAGCTTCAGGGGTCCCCGTCTCTGTCCCCGGGTGTCTGTGATGCTCTCCAGGGACCAGGCCAGCCAGGTCTTTGGACCCAGAGGGTAAGGTGGGTTCCCCAAGTGCAGGCAAAGGGGTCACAGAGACGCTATCCCAGAGCCACATGCAGAAAAGACTCTCCCCGTCGGGTGTGCAGGGCTGGGATACAGAGGAGGACGGGGATTTCCTGTCACAGGACATGCAAAGGGGCTGGGCAGTCCCTTGTTAAATTTGCAATCGAGGGGGCTACTCCCCTGGGTGGGGAACCATGCTCTGACTTCTAATCTTCTGAGTTAGAAAGCCTTGATCTTTAGTTCATTCCATTGGAATATACCGAGGCCACCAAGTTCTGGACCTGGCAAGTCACCAGGGCAAGGTGGAGGGGCCTGGAATCCACCTGGTCAGTCAGGTTCTAGGAGCTGCACCAGCAACCCCCTGGGAAAACCAACTGAGCTCCTCAGAGCACAGCCACTGCCCCTCCTGCTTGTATGACCGAGCCGTTCCAGGTGGTGGGGCTGAGAGCCTGGGGGCCCTGGGTTGCTGTTTTGGTCCACTAAGGCTGGCCCTGGTGCTTCTGGGGGACAAGGGGTCAGAGTTGGCACCCGGAAGGGTACAGAGTTAGACCAGTGGTTGCTGCCTGTAAGTGGATCCTGAGATCAAATTCGTAGGTCTCAGCTGGCTGTTTTTTTGTGTGTTTCTTTTTGTGTTTTTTTTAATATAGAGTAGAATACAGGGTCGGGTAGGGTGGAATGGACATGATGTAGGTCAGAGTGCACTGTGCCCATAAGGATTGTTTCAGTTCACCTGTGTGTCCTTAGTCCCAATGCAAAAGGATTCCTTACTGTAGATTAATGTAAAAAACAATAATAAATTAAAAGGCTCTGAGCGAGAATGGGTAAATTAGGGACTTGGAGGCCTGCAGGGCTTGCTCACAGAAGCTGAGCTGGGTCTCCCTGGCTGCAAAGCACTCTGGTTTTTAATTAAAAAAATAATTGGTATGGGCTTCATAGAAGGTAAGGATTTTACCCACCATAAACTCAGCTGGTGGAAACACTTTATGTTCCTAGATATGCTTTCATTTTTGAGCCTGGGGCCTGTTCACTGATGGAAGGACAGACAGTATGGTCCCTTCTAGAAAGGACTGCAGGGACGTTTGCTCTTAATGGCACTTCAGGTTGAAAGCCTGGTCACATTCAGGATCGTCTCCCTGGGCACCGCTGTGGATGGGAGGTGACACCACACCTGCCTCCTGGAGTTGTGAGGATCAGTGAATGAGCGTGGAGTGTCCTGAGCATTGAATGAGCCCTCCTTCCTGGCCCATGCTAGCTAGGGTCCAAGGTGCCTGTGCTGTACCAGAGACCTCCCTGGGCCCAGGCACGCGCCCAACCACAGGCGCGTCTGATGGCCAGTGCTGATCTTGGGGGTGGCTGCCCTTTGCCCCCTCACAGCCTACACAGTGGTCCACTTCCCTGAGATGTAAAAGAACTGGTGAGACACAGTCTCCTCTCTGTAGTCCATGCTGCATCACCAGCTACCACCGGGAGCTCCCCCACACGTGACACTTTTATTTTCTGTCCAGACTGTTTTGCTGGAAGAGTCTCTGCTTCGTAGGTGGATGAGGGCAGAGCTTGAGATGCTGGCTCTGCCTGGTCATGTCTACTTCCCGAGTCACGCGGTGGTGCCTGTGGCTGCGGCCACTGCCCTTCAGAGCTGAGCAGTTGCTCCTTTGTACTCCCTGGTCCTATTCTGACTTGGACCAAACACTGAGTCTCACAGCTCCAGTGGGGGAGGGCATGGGGGCAGAGTGCACTGGTTAGTATCTCATGTTAGCGTATGCCCCTCCGCCACAGTAAGAAATGGGAAAGAGAGGTGCAAGACAGTGAGACTCGGCAAGTCTCCTGGCACGCACACTCAATGAATGCAGGGTGGTGACCCCTGATCACGGGCATGTACAGTGGTGCCCAGCACATGATAGGTGCTCACTGAACGTTCGACCACGCAACTGATCTACGAGGCAACTATTGCCAATATGTGGGTGTTTTTCCTCCCAGCCTCTATGCCAGTGTGTACACACACATATACAGGGTGGGGCAAAAGGAGGCTTACAGTTGCTCGTGTGGGAATAATTAATAAACAGTAATACAAGAGTAAACTCTATTTCATGTACTCACAACTGTAAACTCACTTTTTGCCCCACCCAGTACATACACAATATAATCTTAGCTAAAATCATGCTGGAAATAACCTTGAATACTGCTTTCTTTCTTGGAGTATGTAAATCCCTCCTTAGCGTTCCCTCAACATGGGCTAGCTTTTTGCAGTGCTGTTAGTCTTCCCACTGACATCCCTGTTTGTGCAGGTCTGCGCTGTGGCAGTGCCGCCCCGGGTGAGGCTGCACTGACACCCCCTGGTATGCAGCCCTATTGAGCTCTCCCTTTGGCTTGAGCTCTGCAGGAGGGGCTTCAGGGTCAAAGCCCCACAGATGCCAGGGGCCTGGCAGCACCAAGGGGCAGGGACCCTGGGGTCCTGGGGAAGTCCTGCAACAGTAAGAAGCTGCTCCAACCTCATTCCTCCTCCACCCCCACCCAGGCTTCAGGGTCAGGACTTCCTGCCCACACTGTGGGGGCCAGCACAGGGTGAGGAACAGAAGGAGCCCTCCCTGTGTGTGGATTCAGTTATTGAATTATGAAGACAGCAGCCACCTGTCCTGGCCCTACCAGCTCTGGCCTCCTGCCATGTTTTCTCCCACTTTCTCCCAAATTGGGATCATGACACATTTGCAGAGGAGGAAAGTGAGGCTTGGAGAGGTGAATGAATGTGGGCTGACCTGCACTGTAGAGCATGGTAGACAGCAGCCCAGTCTGAAGCAGGCCGGGGTTTGAGCCACGGCCCCCCCCTGCTGCAGCTGCATGACTGGGCACCGCTGTGGATGGGAGGTGACACCACACCTGCCTCCTGGGGTTGTGAGGACCCGTGAATGAGCGTGGAGTGTCCTGAGCATTGAATGAACGGCAGATGGTAAACTCGGGTGCAGGGTGACTGTTGTTGTCAGTTCTGTTATGTGGCTGCTATTGTTAGGAGCCAGCTTGGGGTAAAGATTGGATCCCAGATTTTGGCATCAGGTGGACCTGGCTTCTGGCCCCAGCTGCCTTGCTGACTGCTGCATGAGCTTGAGCAAGGTTATACCCCTCTTGGATCCCCAGTTCCCTCTGGGGACGCCGGTGACTCCTACCCCAGTGGGCTGGTATGAGGACTGGGTGAGGAGAAGTCCCTAAATTGGGTCAGCGTAGAGGACTGGGGAACATCTGCAGCCCTCAGGAAAGTCCCTTACAGACCCCGGCTGCCCCCACCCAGGCACAGCCCTTGGGGCCTGCTGAAGCTGCCCTCTTTGAGCCAAGTGGCTGGTCTTCATCCGAAGGTCTCTGGAATCCATTTATTTGATCCATGGGTTGCCTGTGGACACCCCCCACCACACACACACATGCTTTTCTCAGGGATATTTACCCATATGTGAGTGTGCGTGTGTGTGTGTGTGTCCTTGAGCATATGTGTGTGCCTAGCTAGCTATGTGCACAGGAAGTGTGAGTGTGTCTGTGCAGTTTATGGGGCATCCGTAGCTGTGAGTTTCAGTCTGTATTTACAGGTGACGATTCTTGAACCTACATCCAACTACACGAAGAGCACATGTTCTGTGCCTGGCATTCTGCTGGGCGCTGGGTCACCGCAGGACTGAGGAAGCCTCCCTTGCCTTGGAGCTCACACTGAGGACGGGTGGAAACCGAACAGACATACAGAATAGTTTGAGAGCAGGACAAGCAGCAGAAGAGAATACCGTGGCTTGGAATGGAGGGCAGTGGGGAGGAGGACCACTGTAGGAGAGTCAGGGAGGGCATCCTGCAGGGCGTGGCCCTGAGCTGAGACCTGAGGGAAGAGAAGTCACCCATGGGAAGATGTGGGGAAAGTGTTCCAGCAGCAAATTCCCTGAGGTGGGGTGAGGGTCAGGGCATTGGGGAAGCTCAGAGGGGCCTGGCAAGACTGCAGCCCAAGTGGAAGTAGAGAGGCTCAGCAAAGGGCCAGAGAGGCCCTGTATTGTAGGGCTTGGTGCCCACAGGAGGGACTAGAGTTTTTATATTGGGAACATGGGAAGCCCTCAGAATATGAAAAGCTAATTTGCATTTTAAAGCCAGGCCCTCTGGCTATGTGCTGGGTGTGGAGGGGACTAGGTGGGGTGTGTGCCGCACGGGCGGGAATTGTGAGCTGTGTTCTTGCAGTGACAATGAGCTGCTCTGAGACCCAGGCCTCCAGCTTGGGTGATTCAGACTGGGGTCCCCAGCTATGGGCGACCCTCCCGTCACCCTCCCCTCCTCCCCTCAGACCTGGACGAGTGTGCACTGGGCACCCACAACTGCTCGGAGGCCGAGACCTGCTACAACACCCCGGGCAGCTTCCGCTGCCTGCTCTTCGGGTGCCCTCCAAACTACACTCGAGTCTCCGAAACGTGAGTGTCTCTACCCCAGCCATGCCCCAGGGACCCTGCACAGATCATGCTGCCCAGGGGAGAGGCAAGGTGACCGGTGGCCCCTGCTGTCACCACCCCCTGCTCTTTACCTGCCCCTACTGCATCCTGTCAGATGGCACAAATGAAAGCACCTTGCAGAAAGGTCCATGTGGAGAATGAAGGGAAGATGCCCGGAACATCTCTCCCTCTGTCTTTCTCACACGTGCACCCCCCCAGAGCATCTCCCTCGGTCTTTCTCACACAGGTACACCACACCCAGAACTTCTCTGTCTTTCTCACACACGCACATAAACACATTAGTTATCTTTTGCCCTGTAACACTTAGCACCTTAACCTGAGCAAGTTATTTTTTCACACAGTTTTGGAGGGCCAGGAATCCAGGAGCAGCTTAGCTGGATGGTTCTGGCGCAGGGTCTCGGGGGGCTGCAGAACCCTACCGCCCAGTCACGTGGCTCTGGGCAGGAGGCCTTGCTCCTTACCGCGTGGGCCTCTCCGTGGGCTGCTTTTCACATCCTTCCCCCGGCACGGGTCATGGAGAGACAGTCCTTTGCAAAAGTGACACATTCTTATAGAAATATTCAAGCAATGAAAGTGTGCAGACCAAAGTTGTTGCCCCTCCCCTCAAACAAATCCCTCAGCCCCTGACTGGCTGGAGCGTATCTTCTTTCATCTGAGCATAAAGCACACGGCTGTCCTGTTGTACACGTGCACTCAGCCATTCCCAGCCTGTTCTGTCTACCCTGCTGCTCTCGTGTCTGCATGCAGCCTCCCTCAGATGTGTCCACAGTCCATTTACCACTGCCCTGCTGGCGGTTTCCCAGTTTCCGCTATTACACATGGGGAATGTCCATGTGCCTGTGTGTTGGGACCTTTAGGGAGTATGGCTAGGTGACTCTGGGCGAGTGGCCTCCCTTCTCTGCGTCCCAGCTGCCTTGTCGGCAACATGGGAATGACGGTAGCACCGCGCGTGGCTGGTACGAGCACCAGATGGATGCGAATGTGAGCGGAGCACACTGCGTGGCATAAATGCCGTGTCGTGCTGCTGGCTGTTGTCCCTACCCTGGCTGTGTGGCCTTGTACTGTGGCACACCAGTTGGAGAATTCTGCTCAGAGGATCTCTAGAGTTGCTGAGCCCTGGCACCTAAACAGCATCCCATTTGGGAAGCAGTGAGCTTTTATACTGATTTAATGATGGAGATGCCAGTAGCTCAGAGCGCCAAGAAGAGGCCAGGTTCTTGTGCTTAAAAATTGAGGCCTTGGCCCCTCTGGGGTCTGGGAGGGTCTCTCACCATCCTCGTGTAGCATTGCTGAGTCTTGAGGCTTCCACCTGGGAAAGCGTCTGCCAACCCAAGTCAGAGGAGGAAATGGCCCAGGAGCAGTCAATTAATAGAAGAGGAATTTGAAAAATGATTGAAACAGTAAAAACACTGTGGCCTGGGAATCTATTCAGATGGACAGTGTGTAAGTAAAAAAATGCAGGAAGGAAGGAGCGTAGAGCTGCACATGAGCTGCGCACAAGCTGTGCCAGGCACTGTGGTAATGCTGCATATTTATAAACGCCTCAGCCTCCCAGTGAAACCACAAGGCTGTCAGCCGTCTTACAGATGAGGAAACAGACCCTCATGGTAAGGTGACTCCGCAGGTGCTACAGGGCTACTGAGGGGAGGGCTGGGCCAGCTGGCCCTTGAGCCTGCCTCCGCCATGTCCAGGGTGGTGGACGGCAGGGCCGGGAGGGCCTGGGATGGTGGTTCGCCAGCCCAGCCCAGCCCACTGACCAAGCCCTTGCACCCGCAGGAAGTGTGAGCGCACCATGTGCCACGACTTACTGGAGTGCCAGAACACGCCAGCTCACATCACGTATTACCAGCTCAGCTTCCAGACTGGCCTCCTGGTGCCGGCTGACATCTTCCGCATCAGCCCGGTGCCCGCCTTCGTGGGGGACACCATTGCCCTTACCATCACCAGGGGCAACGAGGAGGGCTACTTCGGCACGCGTCGGCTCAGCGCCTACACGGGTGTTGTCTACCTGCAGCGGTCAGTGCGCGAGCCCCGGGACTTCACCCTGGATGTGGAGATGAAGCTGTGGCGGCAGGGCTCCGTCACCACCTTCCTGGCCAAGATGCACGTCTTCTTTACTGCCTTTGCTCTGTGAGGCACCCCCCCGAGTGACGTGCAAGGGCCGCAGCGCCTGGGTTGCCCCGCTGGTCCCTGTGCCACCCCCCACACCACCCTCCAGGGCTCCTCTTTCTTGGGCGCTCAGCACCATGTGTGTGGGCCTGGTTATTTGGGCGATTGTTACTACAACTGGAAAATAACTTAATTTTGCTGAGTGGATTCTCTTGGGTTCCTAGTAGGGATCTTGGCAGCAGGAGGTTCAGGGAAGCCCTGGGAGCAGTTCAGGGTCACCTCAGGTGCCCTGTGGGTGGAGTGAGCGGACCAAAGGCTAGATGCTGATTAAAGGCGGCAAACGGGGACCACGTGGAGCTTTGGACTCAACGGATGCCTGTCCCCAATGTTGACATTCCATTTCATGTCTCGCTGTGATTACTTCTTTACTTTAAAAAAATCATCTTAAGTGTTTTTGTTTAATTATAAAAGTAGTACACATATACTGCAAAAATTCAAATAGTACAAAAAGGTCATAAACTAAAAAAGTGAGAAAAGAAACCCCCATACTTCTCTGTACAGTGTTTGAGTCTGAGGGCGGTGCCTGCAGGTCCTGAATGTTGAGTCCGTTGGCTCACTGAGATCTCCTTTGATGTCAGACTAAAGGAATTACCCCAGCCGAGGAGTCCCCTGTGGGTGACATGGTCACGGGGTAAACATGCTGGCTTTCTGGTCCTGTCTTATTTATCACAGCTGCTCCCTCCTTTCCCCCTTGTTCTCTTTCCCCAACTGTGGGCTCAGCTGGGGTATCCCCCCCAAGTGTGGGCTCAGCCAAGGTATCCCCTCCCCAAGTATGGGTTCAGCTGGGGTGTCACCTTCCCAAGTGTGGGCCTCAAGTGGCATGTCACCTCCCCAAGTGTGGACCGCAGCTGGCATGTCACCTGCCCAAGTGGGCCTCAGCTGATGGTCACCTCCCCAAGTGTGGCCCTATCTGGAGTGTCACCTCCCCAAGTGTGAACCTCAGGTAATATGTCACTTTGGATATTGCCCAGAAACTCCAGTACTGGCCCCTTTCACTGAGGCCTGGACGCGTTAGGTTGGACCGTGGACTTGGGCGAGGGGTCCTGGAAGACGAGAGAACGCTTCTACACTGTGCACCTCGGGGGTGAGGCTGCGTTAAAGAAGAGCACTCAGGTGCGAGGCCCCAGGCACACACTTTTGCCACTGCCCTTGGCTCTTTCTCTAAAGCAGTGGGTTTCCGATGTAAGCAGTGTGTGACTCGTGGTTTGTGTAGTAGGCACAGTGGATAGAGCCAGCATTTCCAAAATGAGCAGGATAGACCTGTCAGAGTGCTTTATACCTGGTGAGGGGAAGGCAGTGTTGGAACCGCAGTGCATGTGTCTGTGTGTCACGTCCACGCTCCCACCAGCCATCGCTTGTGATATAAAATCTCTTTCTTCCTGTGTGATGTGGCCTGTTGGGGATTGTGGCACACTGGGGATGCGTGCCCTGTGTGGAGGGGGTGGCATTTCGTAGCTCCAGAAGCTGCAGCCTTCTGGGGACCTGTGCCCAGATGGCCAGATGTTCTCATTCTTCAGGACAAGTTCCCAAAATACATTTTGATATAAAATCTCCCAATTTTAAGATGTGATTAATTAAAACTTTGTAACCGTAGGGCAGAGCCTGCTGTGGAAGTCACGCTGTCTCGTGCCTTTTACCTGCCCTGCTGCTCACTGGCTGTGACCCGAGGGCTTGCGGCAGGAGCCAGGGTTTCTCTCTCACTGGCCTGGCTGCCTCCGGTCTTGTTTCTGAAAACCAGAGCTAGCAAATCTTTCAGACGTGGTCACTTACTGGGCAAGGGCCAGTAGAGAACAGACTTCCATTCAAGAGGCAGATTGGGGACACCAGCATGGGATGGGCAGTGCCTGGCTAGCCAACAGAGGCCCTAAGAGGCCTACCACAGACTCGTACACAATCTGGGGTCCTTCCCCCAGCTCACAAGTGCTCCCTGTGGGCCCTTGGTTGGCTGATGTTACCTCTTAGTGTTTCATCTGCCTCAGCAGAGGGTCCCCATGCTCCTCTCAGGGCTGTGCCCACAGAATCAGCACACACAGTCCAGCTTGGTGCCGGCTCATCTGAGGCTCTCAGAAAACAATTTCCTTCTGATTTTAGGGTTTCCAAAGTTCAGTGGTTCTAGGGTCCAGGCCTGCAAGGAATCTGGCAGGCTACCATTTGGGAGAGCAGGTCTCTACAAGTGTATCCTCAATAGATGCCATGCAGAAGCTGGAGAGTCCCCACAGCCCCCCCTCACTTTCAAATGCCAGGCTTCGTGTCCTCAGGATGTGTCACTATCCTGGCACCTGGGTGACAGTTCACACAGTGTTGCCAACCCGGGAGCCTTTGGCACCAGCGTTTTCACTGGAGCTTGGTCACATACTGTCAGGTTTCCTGACCTTTAGCGTCCAGTCCCTCCTGGAGGTGAGACTAATGTGGCATGTCCTAAAGCCCCTATCATAAGTCACAGTATTAGACTCTCCAGTGCCCAGTGCTCCCAGGGAAACAGACCTCACCTCCCAGGAGCCAAGAGCAAAGGCCAGGCTTGTGCAGGTAAGAGAAGGCCAGCTCCTTTCGCCTAGGCTTTCTTACAGGATGATCGTATTTAGGCATCTGTATTTAGTATTACTTGTTACCTCTCTTTTAAAAAAAATTTTCACCTGAGGATGTTTTTCTCCATTGAATTTTTAGAGAGAGTGGAAAGGAGGGAGAGGGAGAGAGAAACATCGATGTGAGAGACCAGGGCGGGGGACTGAGTCTGCAACGGAGGTATGTGCCCTTGACTGGGAACTGAACCCAAGACCCTTCAGTCTGCAGGCCAACGTTCTAACCACTGAGCAGAACTGGCCAGAGCTACTTGTTACCTCTCTTGATCTGCTATTTGTGCCTCATGATAAACTTGTGCAGAACCACTGAGCACAGAAGTCAGTGGTTCCTCAGGCCGGCCGTCTCTTGTCGGCATTACATCCCGAGGAGTCCGTAACTCAGGGTCCCAGCCTGTTTGGCTGTTGGTGTAGCGTAACCTTACCAGCAATGCCAGCGCTACTCCACATCACAGTAGGTAAGTGTGGCCTGGAAAGGGAGACTGGGGCATGTTCAGTTATTAGCAATTCATCCGGTCCATCAAAATGTCTCCCAGCCTGAGGCCCCTCAGGTTTGCAGATTCCATTCGACCTTGTCAGGTTTCACAAGCAGGAGTGGACTTGGCTTTGCCTTTCAGACCTCTGGTCTAATCAGATGAGACCGTATCGTCTGTTTCTCCAAGCCTCTTGAGATAATCTAATACTGGCCCAGTGTCTGCTGGGTTTCCCTCATTCATAACCCATTTGCTCCTTTCCCTCGGTGCCCTCCACCCACACTCCAGTTCTTCCACCCTGGATGGGGCGTCAGGTCTGGCCCCTGTGCTGGTCTAGTAAGTGCCTCCCCTCAGCCCATTCCCGTCCTGCGAGGGTGGGGCCACCTCAACCAGCAGGCATCCTGCTGGGACCCCCTCAACCAGCAGGCATCCTGCTGCACTCACTGTCAGCCCAGGTCTGCCACATAGGGTTGAAGGCAGTATCCATCTGTCAGGCCCTTAGGAATTGTGACATCAAGGTTTAAAACTTTAGTCACAGTCTCTTGCTTAGGAATCCCTGCTTCTGGCACCCACAGTTGCAGCCTTGGTCCTGGGACAGTAGCATCAGATAGGAAAAAAGGAAATTGAGATGATGTTGGGGTAAGGCATAGCCAGGCCAGCCTTCTTCCCCTATGGGAGGAATTGTGTCATAGCAGCCCCCCATCACCTAGAAAGCAGAGGAGTCAATCCGGGGGGACCCTCCCTTGGCCCCCCTCACGGTGAGTGTGAGCTCTCATTGCTGACGGCACACGAGCCAGCCCTCATGCCTGCACCTCCCCCACCCTGTTTTAGAAACCCAGTGTGTCAGCTACCAGTTCTAACTCTAGCCATTACTCCAAGGAAGGTCTCTGCCCATTGTGGACACTGGGCTGTCTGAGTGTTTCTTCGTCTGAAGAAATGTGAATTGGTGGTCCAAACTGGCCCATGTCTCCTGAGCCAGCAACGCACAGTATCTTGAGCATTTTCATCTACCACTGGGCTGGGCATGTGAAGCCCAATCCAGAGACCTCTTTCTGTTGGAACCATCTGCAGTGTCTGGGGCTTCCAGAATTAGGCCACTTGCCAGCAGTGGCCAGGGACTTTCCCCTGGGGGGCCTTCCCCACAGCTATCTAGTTTCTGTCTCTCCAGTTGACAGAACAGTTCTTGTTGAGATTTGTGCCTCAGAGGGACAAGAGGAGTATGTCTAGATTTAACCAGTTCCTGTGTTGTTGTGGCCACCTCAGAGGAGTGCCCCAGTGCACCTGCTTGCCCATTCCAATCTCTGATCCTGGAAGGGGCTTCTGATGGGCATCAGCGTGTCCTACTTAATGTACCCTCAACTCCCGTAGTGACCTCCATGGAGCCTGGCCCACATGGGCCCCTCTTCAATAGGCCCATTTTCATTGCTTGTCTTCCTGACCAAATGGCACGCAGTCCCCTATCCTGCTGATGTGCTTAACTTTCTTCCATCAGAGGGGCAGCCTTCCCAGGATGCTGCCCATATGCCTTGGAGCTGCCATCTGTAAACCTAGCAGCTCTCTTTGGGTCAATCGAGAGCTTTCACAGGGCACCACACAAGTGACAACAGGACATGGTAGCTTCCCAGTTGGAACCTCAGGTGATTCCCAAGTCAGCCGAAGGGGGCAAATCTTGCTTGCGATTATGTTGCATGCCTTCCAACACGGCCCTGGTAGCATCTTCCTGCACAAACCCTGTCCATTTATCACAGAGCTCTTCTTGATACTCACTGCCCTCCACATTGGAGCATCTCCTCAAAACCATCCACAACAGAGTGGGTGTTTCGAGATTAGTCTATGATCTTCAGTCATAAGAGCAGCCTCACTCAAGGCCGTGTCCAGTTGTCCCTTAATGAAAAATTTCTGGACCCAGATCTCAGTGGTCACGGTTGATGGCACTCACAAGCGTGCCATAGCCACGGTGTGCCTGAGGACTCCAGAGCTGCTTTTGATCAGTTTTATGTACAGTATGTACAGGAGCTAGCAATGTCCCCAGATGTGGAATTTGTGTCCAAAACCCACATAAACTGACCAGTTAGTTGCCGGTCTTCTAACATGTTTTGTCCACAGTGTGCAATCAGTATTGCCTGGCAGCAAGCGTGTATGTCTTCTGTTTTGCAGCTGGATGGGGAAGCATTCCCCAGTCAGACACAGTGCTATTCTCATGATGCATTCAGGTCAAGGAGATACAGCCGCAGAGCTCTGTCCAGACATTCTACCGTGTATCTAAATGTCCTCCTTAATCCCATCAGCCATTGTGTTTCTGCACCCTCCCAACCCAACTGTAGCCCCATTAGGACTTTACCAAAAAGTTTGGAATCACTG